ACTGCTCCAGAAACTTCACCGGCTCCAACGGCACCATCGAGTCCCCCGGCTTCCCCGACAAGTACCCGCACAACCTGGACTGCGTGTTCACCATCATCGCCAAGCCCAAGACGGAGATCCTCCTCCACTTCCTCATCTTCGACCTGGAGCACGACCCGCTGCAGGCCGGGGAGGGCGACTGCAAGTACGACTGGCTGGACATCTGGGACGGCATCCCGCAAGGTGAGCCACACCGCGCCGCTGTCCCCGGTGCCAGCGCGTCTGTCCCCAAAGCCCTCCTCCGGCCGGGGGAGAGGCGGGCGCTACCTTCGCTGCTCTTTCCGTTGCAGTCGGCCCCCTGATCGGCAGGTACTGCGGCACCAAGATGCCGTCGGACATCCGCTCCACCACGGGCGTCCTCTCGCTGACTTTCCACACGGACCTGGCGGTGGCCAAGGACGGCTTCTCCGCGCATTACTACCTGATCCAGCAGGACGTGCCGGAAAGTAAGTCGGAAATGCCCCGCTGCTGAAGGCACGCGCGTGACCTGGGCGGTCGTGCCGGCCGTTTTGCCTGGTCCGCCCCTGGGCACCGTGTGGATGGGGCCGGGAGGCGCCTTTGCGGGGACTGGTCTCCTGGCTGGCAGTACGCGAGAGGTGACACCAGATGCGGTCCTTAAATGAGGTTTAAGGATGAATCACACTTTCCGACCTTTCCTTGTCTTTTTGCTTGCTCGTGAAGTTTTCTTGGTACCTCTTGGGATGAAACCCTTCGTGCATGTGCTCAGCCCAAAGGATTTAGGGGAAGACTTCAGCCCAGCAGGTGCGGCAGTATCGCTAAAGAATAGGGGAAAAATACTCCCTCCCTCCCTCCCTCCCTCCTTCCCTCCCTCCCTCTGGTTTTCCAAAAACATACAGGCCCAAACTGCTGATCGCAATTTCATGGCTGTCTAATTTAAAAAATGCCCAAAGCAGTTCAAACCGAAACTTGCTTTAGATCCCTTCTTAAAGGAGATGGATGAACGTGGTGAGAGGACCGTAAGTCGTGTGCTCTGCGAGTGAAGAGCGTTTTGAGTCTTTGTGTTAGCGCGGGCAGGCTGGGAAAGATTCGGGTCGCTTTCCCGTGGCGTTTCTACATCAGAGCTACAGCTCGCAAACTCTGTGAGCTGTGAAGCTGGGATAC